GTATTTCTCAGCAAAACTAAGTGACTATCACATTCATTGACCTTTTTTAAATATTAAAATAGTCATTTAGATGGCTGTGGTAGCACATGCCTGTTATCCCAGCACTCAGGAGGCTGAGGCAGGAGGATCATCTTGAGTATGAGGCCAGCCCGGACTATATAAAGAGACCCTGTCTCGAAAGGCAAACAAATAAGATACTTATTTAAAACTTTATATCTCTGCACAGGCTTTTTGAAAACATATTACTGAGTGTTTGCGTCCATTCAGAAACTGTGAGATTTACTTCCACAAGTGTTACCCAGAAAAACAAAAAGGTAGGTCAGGCCAAAACCACAAGCTAAGCATCCACCACCCCCTCTAACTCATCCACTTTTACTGCCACTTTATTATTTTCCAAGCTTGTAGATCTAAAGTCCCGCTCCCACCAAAGAAACCTGAATTTCAGGTTTGTGGTCCTAAATTACTTTTTGCTTCAAAGAGAAAATGCTTTGCAGTTATGGAAGTGACCAGACCTGGCCCGCTGACCCTTTGTGGCAAGTACCAAGGTGACATATTTGGGGCAGCACCTGGTTTAGGAAAAGGCAGAAAACCTCCTTCTTATGGCCAATCCTTCCCAGGTGTCAAAAAGCACTATGATTGTGTTGTTGTCCAAAACACTCCCCATGAGCCCACACAGACCCCCCCCCCACCTCCTCCACAGGTTAACTGTGTTCCCGAAGGCAGGACACATCATGCACCTTAGGGGGTGGCTAATGCCCTGTATCCGGGGGTGAGGATGTCTCCCAGCCTACACAGGGTCCTCCTTATTATGAAGTCCAGGCTGGCTTCAAACTCAAGGTGATCCTCCTGCCTCAGCCTCCAAGGACAAGGATCATCCCAGAGAATCACTGAATGAGTCCATTGTCTGGGGACACACGGCCACCACGGCACATCTCCACGATGCTCACAGCTTATGGAACCCTAACTTCACAGGTGTGGACAGGAAGGCTTTGAAGGATTAAGGAAATTCTCAAACCCATGCAGGGAACAGAATGGCAGCCACAGAACTCAAATACTCTTTTTTTTTCCAGAGAAAATAGAGGGTTGAGTTATTGTATTTTCTACCACAATGACTTCAATAAGATTTAAAGGGGTAGGGGAGATGGCTCAGTAGAATAAGTACTTTCCTGGCAAGCACAAGGGCCTGAGTTCAATCCCCGGTTCCACCAAAAAAAAAAAAAAAAAAAGATTTAAAGGATACACCGTAGTCCCTCTCCCCTGAGAACTCCCCCCAGATTTCTTCTGATTGCTGGGAATACAAAAGAAATAGCGCTCTGACATTCAGATAACGCCCTACTAGTGTTTCCCTTAGAGAAGTGTAAGCTCTCCACAGACAGGGACATTCTCAAATTTACCCCTGCACTCTCCCCTGGTGCCCTAACACCAACTCAGACATGAGAAGGGCCCAATAACTATCACCAAAGCAACAAAATCTACCCTGGAGCCTTTGACTGGGACCTGAGTTCCTGGATAGAGCAGCAGCCGCCAAGGTGCCCTGGGTCCCAGGAACACCAGGGGGCTCCCAGGAGCAGGCACAACCCCAAGTCTGCCACCCAGTATCCTGGGAGGAAAGGAGGAGGCTATTTTTCCTCTCCCCCCAGGTGAGAGTAGCCTGGCAAAGTCCCAGGGAGTGACAGCCACACCGTGGATCTGGTGCGCGGTGCAGGAGGGACGCCCGTGTCAATGGTGCTGTCAGGCACATTTCTGCCACTTCTTCTGCACTCAGCACTGAGACACAAGAAAGGCCCAATTCTCTTCCAAACAAACAAGGCCGTTAGCCACAAAGGCCAAGATGGGACTGGAAAGATAGCTCAGGGCAATAAGTGCTTGCCTGGCAAGCACAAGGTCCTGAGTTCCATCCCTAGCACCACCAAAAAGAGTCACAGAGGCCAAGGTGCAGATGCCCCTGCTGCACAAGGTGTCCGCGTCCATCAGAAAGGAAGCTTCAGCATGCTTGATTCCTCCTTCCTGACCCAAGCTTCCCTTTCTTGGCGGCAAATATTGCCTCCCTGTTCTTATGCACAGCAGACGAAGATACATGCAGCTTCACTCAAGTGCTCAACAGGTGGGGGGAGAGAGGGACGGAGACGGGGAGAGAGGGAGAGAGAGACAGAGACAGAGACAGACTGGTGCTGCACAGCTGGCCTGAGTTCTGGCCATCCTGCCGGATCTGTGTGCTTGGACATCCCATGGGTCCTACATCTACGTCAGGATCTTAGCACATCACTGGCACCCGGCTCTGTAACAGGCTGGAGATGAGCAAGCCTATGTCCCTCCCGCGCTCCTAATTGCTGCAACAGATTAGTGCTGGGGAAAGAAAGAAGCCACAACTCAGTGTGGAAGTCCCAAGTCTACAACAATAATCGGCAAATGTTGCCAGGGCTGCTCATAATCACACAGCAGGCAAAGCAGGAGTACATGGCCACCCTGGACCAAGCACTCCGTGAACCCGAATCCAAAGCTTAGAGAGTATTCTAAGGTGCCCATGAGCACACACAGACAGAGGGGCATGACTTCTCTCCTTCCCAAAGCTCTACCTAGTTCTCAAAGGCAGCATGAGGCCAGGCAAGGGACAAGTGACAAACAACCTACGGAGGCCATCGGGCCCCAGGGTCTCACCAGCAGAGCCCAGCTAGCCGCCACCTCCCCAAGACATGGCCTTCAGTTTTCCACCCAGGACCAAAACAGCAGCAGCTGTTGCCAAGGGAGACACCGCGACCAAGAGATGTGGGCATGAAACCCAAGAAAGGCAACTCCCTCTTTCTAGATTCACACCCAAGTAACTGGGGCTGTCCAGCTGAGAAAGGTGAATGAGGAGTTCAGATCTGCTCAGGGCTTGGGCTCAGTGGTGCAGCACTTGCCCAAAGTGAGCAAGGCCTGGGTTTTAATCCCCAGCATGGAAGAAAACAAAGCTCTTCTTAAGGTGCAAAGGACACCAGTCCTGGTGAGAGGAAGACAGGAACCGGGCTGGTACGTGAGAACTTTCCTCAGCACTCATATGCTTCTTGAGGGGCTATGGAAGAGGAACAGGCAGGCCAAAGCTTTGCCCCTTGCCAAAGCAAACTCCTCCCAAGACAGGAGAATCACAGCCCAAAGGTTTAGCAAGAGCCACCAACCCAGAAGAGAATCACACGGCCCAAGTCAGGACACCAACAACCTTTCCACTGTTCCCCTCCAAAGTCTGCTCAAGTTTTAAACAAGATTGTCTGAATTCTAGCTGCCTTATCTACTTTCCAGGGGCTGGTTTCCTTGTTTCTTTCTTCCAGGACCTAATAAACCATGTGAAAGTACTTTGCAAAGTGTGAAACACCTTCCACAGCTGTGTGTTTAATAATCTATACTATTTTTCCCGTCTCAATGTGCAAAGCTCCTGCCTGCCTGGCACCCATGTGCCTTAGGAGTGGCCTGTTTTCACAGTCCCTTCCTCAGGTGGAGATATACGCTGCTCACCCATCCTGCCCTTCCCCACCCCGCCAAAAAGAAGAATTAAGAGCTACAGCTGGCCCTGGCACGGTGGTGCACACCTGTAATCCCAGTCCTCTGAAGGAGGAGGCAGGAGGATCACTGCCTTGAGTTCAAGGCCGGCCTACAGTACTCAGTGAGACTATGTCTCAAAAAACAAAACAAAGCAAACCAGAAGCAGAGCAGGGACCAAAGCCCAGGTTTCTCGGGCCATCACCCTGAGGCCAACTCTAGTTCTGTCAGAAACCCTGGGGTATGCTGCCCATCAGCACACACACACCACCTTCCCTCTCTATTGACTGCACCCACCCAGTTCAGTTCAAAAACCACTTTTAAAAATCAGTATGCCCACCATATGTGGCATTTACCTCCAGGAGGAGGGCAGCCCCGGGTTCTAGGGACAGATGTTGCTTTGTGCCTGCCTGTCACGGCTGGCAGCCCTTGAACAGCTGCCCCAGCAGGTGGCCCTCGATGGAGTCAAGCCTGGGCCAGAAGTGAGAGTGAGGGTGACAATCCCCTGCAGGCTCAGGCCTTGTAAGTCTTCTTCTCGGTCCTCCGCAGTCTGGGGCCTCAAGAACCCGCCCCACCCCCACCTCCAGGCGAGCGCACGCCCTTGGTGCACAATCAGACTTTAAAGAAGGCTGCACGTAGAGACAGGAGGCCAAGGTGCCCACACCCCAATTCCCAGCCAGGCACGGCCGGGCACGGGGAGGCCCCGGGAGCGGAGAGAAGTCACTGACCCCTTCCACCCGCCATCTGTGAGCCTGCCCGACCTCGCCAGCGCGATGCAAGGATAAAGGAGGTCGGGACAGATGGCAAAGCGCTTTGGGAAGGAGGCTCCGCAGGAATGCGAGGGCCCGAGAGAGGCCCACTTCGGGGCGGGTTTTGTTATCTTTGCAAAGCTTCCCCCCAGTTCTATTGCCTAGCAATCTCTCAGACCAAAAGAAGGGCAAACATGGGGGGGGGGGTCCTGCCGCTAGTCTCTCCCACTTGGAAGTCGGAGCCCCGCACTGCAACTAAAGTGCGTGCGTGCGTGCACAGGGGGCGGGAGAGTGGAACAACCGGGTCTAAAAATACTCGATAAAAATGCTAATCCCAAAGGCAAAGAAAGAACGAAGAAGGCATCTGTCAATCACCGGGCTCCCGCTCCTCACCCACGTCCCCAGCTGTACCGACTGCATTCCAGCCGGGGACAGAGCGGGGGACCGAGCCGGAGCAAAAGGGGAAAGAAAGGGACAGGCACGGCCACCTCCACGAGCGCGGGCCGCGCGGGGCGGGAGGCGGAGGAGGGGCTCGGCCCGGGCCGAACAAAGCGGCCTCAACTCCGAGCGTAGCCCGCGGGGTGGGGGGGGACCCCCGAGGGACCCCCTTTCCCGAGGGTGGGAAGGCAAAGCGACGGAAGCCAGGGTGCCGCGTGGACGCCGAGGGCTCCGGACCTGGACGAGTGCAGAGGTGTTTTTGCCGGGGTTGGGGGGTCCCCGCTGTCCCCGCGCGCCCACCTGGGGATGGTGATGCACTTGGTGCTGGCGCTCTGCGTGGTGATCGCCTTCTCCAGCTCGTCCAGCTGCCCCGTCTTCTTCAGTTTCTTCACCAGGCTCTTGACCGCTTTCTCGCACCACTTCTCCTCCTGCCCGTTCTGCTCGCCCTTCTTCCAGCCCAGCAGGCGCTTCACGATCGGGGGGGTGAAGGGCAGGATGGACGACATGGTGGGGCGGGCGCGCGCGGCGGCGGGGAGCTCGGCCCGGCCCGGCCGCGCGCCCCAAACTTCGCCCCAACTCCGGCGAACTTTGCGGGCTGCGGCGCGCGGGCCCCGGCGGCTCCGGGCGGAGACGGAGGCGGAGGCGAAGGCGAAGGCGCGGGCCGAGTAGGGCAGGCCCCGCGTGCGGGGCGGAGGCGGCGGCCGCGAGGCTCCGAGTGGCAGCAGAAAGTTTGGGTTTCCGCACGGGGTGGCTGTTTGGGTGCCGCCTCCGGGCAGGAAAGTCCAACCCCCCGCCCGGCCCCGCTACCCGGGCGCTCAGGTCTCCCCGCCCTGCGCGCGCCGCCCGCTCGCGTCTCCGTTTCATGCAAATCCGCGTGCAGCCTCCTCGCTGGCGCTGTCACCGCCCCCTCAACGCCGGGGCTCCCGCTCCGCCCCCGCGCCCCGCGCCTCCGCCCCCGGGCGCCCCCCCCGCCGCCGTCCCCGCCCCAAGCTGCCCACGTGGGCTACCGGGCGGGCGACTCTCTCGACTCGGACAGGAAAGGGCCGAAGCCGTAGTAGCAGCCGGGGAAACGGGAAGGGGTCCTAGGAAACGGGCGACATGAGGGCCCCAGCGCGGGGCGCACCTGAGGGGACCCGGCCGGGAGCACACGCGCGGAGCGTTGGTTCAGGAAGTCAGGTCGCGCTGGTCCCCGATGGGGGCCTGACTCGACGCTGGGGCTTCTGACTTTTTCTTCCCCGGTGACAACTCACAGGCCGGAGGCACGAAGTAGCTCTTGGAAGTGGAGAGTTGGGGACCCCAGTGGCAACCCGAACAATAGCTGGAGCCAGAGAGAGTCCCTAGGGCCTTGTGAATCTAGCGTTTAGGAGGAGAAAAGAAGAAGAAGAAGAAAAAAAAACAAAAACAAAAACAAAAAAAACACGGACCCGAAGACATCTGTTGAATCCCTAAAGGAATGAATGGGGGCGACATCGTGATACTTTGTGATCGAAATTCGACACCCAGTCAATAGGACGCAGAGCAGTTTCCAAGGCAGTGAACTTGAAGGGGGGGAGGGGCGAGAGGGGAGTGCTCGAATGTTTCAGTGTTCAAAGTTAGCCGGGAGGGAAACCAAGCGAGGTGGCGCTTTGGGGAGCTGGGGCTTTTTGGCCCACCCGCAAAGATCAGGGGCGGCTTTGGGGAGTCACCGCAGGCCCCTAGCGCCTCCCCTTTGGGGCTGGCCGGGTAGGGAGGCTTTTGTTTGCTTTTAACAGCAGGAAACACTCTGTGGTGGGAAAGGGGTTATCTGCAACCCCGGAGGGCCGGGAGGTACAGAGCCCTGGGGGGCGCGGCCAATCCACAAAGTCAGCGAGGCTTCGGGCCGGAGCCCAAGGAAGCAGAGAGAGTCTCCGGGTCCCAAGTGGCCGTGTCAGGACTCGAACCTGGCGCTCTGTAAGGCCTGTATCCTTTGTCTTGCTTCTGCACCCCGCTGCCTCAAGAAGTTGTGGATGGCAGAGTTCTCGACTGAACAGAAGCGCTTTGCGTGGGGCTCTGTGGGACTGTGCGCAAAATGCTTGCTGGCCTGTGAGATGGAACCAGAACGGCTTGCCTCCCGACTTCCGGGGACACTGTGGGACACTACAGTGAAGCGCTCCCCCAGTCAAGCACCAGCAGGGAGCAGGCCAGAGTCCATGCCACCCAGACTAGCATCGTTAGAGGAGCCTGGTAGCCTCACTCCAGAGTGAGAGAGGGCTACCTGACCTCAAGAGCCAGGAGCTTGCGGCCTAGAGAAGCACCGAGGAATAGGGGCTGGGGGTGCCCCGGAGGCACAGAAAGAGACCCGCTGGCTGGTGAAGGGTTGGGGCAACCCAGTAAAGCGGAAGCTGGCTCGGAGCTGTTGGGACTCTGGCTTTCCCACTTCCACCTCCGAGGTCCTCGAAGGACAGCTGTTGGCACAGTGATGTGAGCTGCAGAGGAGGCTAGGGAGGTCCCTGGAATGGAAGGGCAGCCTCCACGCACTCCACCCTCCTCTTCCCAGGGGAGGAAGCAACTAGACAGCCAGCAAGTCTCCTGGACAGGCTCACACTGTCCCCTGCTTCCTTCCTGCTATCACCAATGAGTCGGGATGGCCAGGCACAGAAAAATGCTGGGTTGAGCCTGCATGAATCGGCTGGTCCACCTGGAGCCTGGGAAGGTGAGGAACTGACCCCTCTTGTGGCCTAAGTGACCCACATGCCTTCTCTGCTGTGGGCCAGAAACAGGCTGCGCATGGATGGGACTCCACTATGGTGCCTGATCTCCTGGGGCCCAGCCAGGCCTGCCATGCAGAGGGTGGCCTTGTCCTTGGGAGGGAAACACTAGCCCAGTTAATTTTTCATCAGGGTAAGTGCAAAGTTCAGGAGAGGCCAGCTAGGGGCAGAGGCTGTGGCTCAGTGTCTCTGGGAATTGTCAGCCTCAGGAGAGACACTCCACCATTCCCAGGGGCTCCCAGGGGGACACCTGGCTTAGTTATAGTTATTTCCCATCACTGGGACATTTTGTCAACAGATGGTGACTCTGGAAAGGCACTGGAATCACTCTGTCTTCACACAGCCCAAAAGGGGCTCAGGGTGGGGGGGTGGGCAAGTCAGGACTAAATCCTTTATCACAGGCCCTCTTGCTGGGGTATTGACGAACACCCATAATCCCAGCACTCTGGGATCTCTGCTGAGGTAGGAGTGCAAGTTCAAGCCCAGCCTGTGCAACTTAGTGACTTAGCAAAACTCTGTCTAAAAACTAAATAAAACAGGGTTGGGCAAGCAGCTCAGGGGAAAGGCTCTGGATTCAGTCCCTGGCACCAAAGGAGGAGGGGGCTCTGCCTCCAAGCAGGTCTCCAGTTGTGCACCGTGGGAGTACCTTCTGCACCTGGCCTCACCTTGTACCAGACAGCTTCTGGGTTAACCTCAGCCCCACTACTTCCGGTTGTGTGACCATCTGCACATTCCTTACCTCTATGTGTCAGTTTATTCAGCCATAATATGGGAGTGTTAGGAACCTATGCTTTAGGATTATTGGGTGGGATCAAGTCACATGACTCCTGTGCAGCACATAGTAGGTCTTCAACATTCATGAATATGGTGGATGTTCACCACAGAGAGCCTAGCAGCAGTGAGAAGCAGTTAGACCAATTCAAGTGAAAACAACCACAGTGAGAAGTAGCCAAATGCCACATTGTTACCTATCCTACACACAAGCCTATTTTGAAAGCTATCACATTGAACTACTTCACACATTAGGAGGGATATTAGGGGGTTTTATTTTGAAGAGTGAAACAATAAAAGTGATACATAATTTCAAAACAAAATGGTAGGAAATTAACAATGGTTATTACATTGTATGTTGTTATCTTCAAAATAGTTCAGATTACAAAATATAGACATGCAAAGTTGATCAAACAATGTGATGAATTGCTTGAAAGGATATTAGTCTTTTTTTTTTTTTTTTTTTTTTTTTCAGAACGGGGAATTGAACTCAGGCCCTTGCGCTTGCCAGGCAAGTGCTTATTCTACTGAGCCATCTCCCCGGCCCAATATTAGTCTTTAAATCTGAAAAATAATAAGTGTTAGAAAGATAGAATTGGAATTCTTGCACATTGCTGGCCAGAACTTAAAATAGCGTTGCCACTCAGAAAACAGCGTGGAGACACCTCAGAAAGGTGAGCAGAGAATTGTGATCTGGAAACCAGGTGTGGTGTGCACATTTGAGATCCCAGAACTCGGGAGGCTGAGGCAGGAGAATCACCGTGAGTTGGAGACCAGCCTGGGCTTTGTCTTTGTCTGCCTGCTACACACGCACACACACACACAGACATACAGTTATGATATAACCCTGAAGGCCCACTTCTGGGAATACACATAAAACAAAAAGATTCAAAGAGACGTTCGTACACCCAGATTCGTATGCAGCATGCATGCACACAATGGGATATTAATTGGCCTTACAAAAGAAAGGGAGGGCTGAGAAGATAGCTCAGTGGTCTAAGCGCCTGCCTGGGAAGCACTAGGACCTGGGTTCAATCCCCAGTACCACATGCTGTGCCAGCCCTGGAACCCTGGGTGTGCTGTGCAGGCCACCAAAATCAGGCATGGCGGTGCAAACCTATAATCCCAATGCTGAAGAAACTGAGAGAGGAGGATCATTAGGAGTCTGAGCTGTGTAGTGAGCCCCTATACCAAATAAATAAATAAATAAAAGATTTATTTTTTAAAAAAGGAAGGAATTCTGATTGTCACCACAACATAGTGGTGTATGCCTATAATCCCAGCACTGGGGAGGCTGAGGCAGGAGGATTGTTACAAGTTTAGAAAACCAGCCTGGGCTACAAAGTGAGCTCAAAGCTAGCCTGAACTTGTAGTGAGACCCTGTCTCAAAACAAAAAACTTTAAAAAAAAATTTAAAAAAAACAAAAACAAAAAACTTGAGGGGCCGGGGAGATGGCTCAGTAGATAAGCGCTTCCCTGGCAAGCATAGGGGCCTGAGTTCAATCCCCAGTTCAAAAAAAAAAAAAAAAAAAAAAAAAAAAAAACAAACTTGAGAGCATTAAACTGAGTGATCTAATCCAGTCAGGAGAGGATTCCAGTGAGGAAATACCTCCCATAAGAGTGGTCAAATTCATAGACATAGGAAGTACAGGGTGCTGCGTGGGGGACCAAGGGTGTCAGAGTTCAGGTGTTATATTGAGTGGTTACAGAGTTTCAGGTAGCAAAGGAGATGGAAAAGGCCCGGCAGGGAGGTGGGGAGAGTAGTGCAGCCTTGTAAATAGCCCTCATGGCATCGCTTCCATGGTTAGGTAACTGTCACTATAGATATTTTACCACAATAACACAGTATAGGAATGACAAGATATCACGCAGAACAGTGCTGCTGGGAGGTCATTTCAGGCCAGGGGATGAAATTAAAGGGGAAATGAATGCGTGCTGGGGTCTACAGGGACGAGTGCTCTGGGGGCTGAGGAGGGTGGTCATGTCACCCTTGCTCCAGTGCTATGCAGTAGGAGTTTGCGCTTATTAGTGAA